TCACTAGACAAGGGGGTATTCTATTTTGGTGTCTTAATTGGTTGAAGCTTAAAAAACTTGATGAGATAAGACATTTTCCGCTCTGGAGACTAAAAACCAAGGAACAGCAAAGAGGGACAAATCAACGCACGCTAAAAGATGACGACCTTTTGTGACTGGGGCACTTGGGTCAGAGTGTGATAGAGGCTGCAGGACGCCGCATTAGCCTGATGCTGACTGCAGGGGCCGTTGCTAGTGATTGGAGATGAAAAACGTGAGAGAGAAAAACCGGCTTTTTTTTCCGTTGGAGGAGGAGGGTGAAAAAAGAGGAGATTTGAGTGACTAAAAGGTGAGTAAACAAAGTTCCCCGGACTACGGAGCTAGGTGCTATGTGGGTACTAGCGCAGGTACCCAGCTCACCCAAGACTGCTAACCACTCCGGCTAACTCGGCCCCTCTAAATCGGATCATCCACTGAACAGACAACAATTGATAGCTGCTGAGGTGTACTGTGCTGTTGCAACTGCCACCGTTGCAACCGATGAGTATGTAATAGAGTTTGCCCTACCGATAGATATATCCATAGAGTCGCTGCAACTGTGACAACTGGCCATCATCATATCACAACAAAGAGACCCTGCATTGCAACAGCACACACACACTCACAACTCACAACTCACAGCCAGGCCAATCACTTCTGCCTACCCCGGACATTTCCTTATCATGAGGTTTCTCACAAGATCCGAATCTGACATAAAATCCCTCCCTGACCTCGTATTCCTAGACAAGGGCCCCTGTACCCTGCAACCACCTCAGCCCAACGAGTCTGGCTAGTGCAAGGTACAGTACATATGAGTAAGAAGTGAGATTGCTTCAATGATATCATGATTGGACGAGCTACGCCCTGGAGCGGTAAAAAGAGGGTAAAGAGAGGTAAAAAAAAAATTGCCTCGTCTAGCGTGAGGCCGTGAGCGTGGGCCCATGATCCATCTCGATGTGTGTACAAGGTTAAATGGACTTTCAGAATGTGGTTAGGCTAGACTAGACTAGACTAAACTAGACGCCTTTTGAGTTTGTGTGTGTCTCTGAGACCTGGGTTTCCGTATCTATCAGCCCAGTTCAGCTCAGCTTTGTCTTGGTGTTGAACTCAAAGATAAATACCCTCACTCTCTTCCCACCTTTTCCCTCACTTCCTTCTCTCAACAACTACACTCGCTTCAGTCGTTACACTCTCGCTCAAAGCTCAAGCTCAATCTTGCTTTTCTGCACTTCACTCGTTTTAATAAGTCAGAACTTAATCAAAACCTCCCCAAATCCTTCAAAATGGTTGCTATCAAGGTTGCTGCTGCTGGCCTCCTCATCGGAGCTGCCACCGCTTCTCCCTACTACGCCCCTCCCTCCAACGGCACTCACTACACCACCGAGGTTGTCACCGCCATCACAACCTACTGCCCTGGTGCTACCACTCTCACCTACGGTGACAAGACCTACACCGTCACCTCTGAGACCACCTTGACCATCACCGACTGCCCTTGCACAGTCAGCTACCCCGTCAAGCCCACCAAGCCCGTTGTCCCTCACCCCGTCTACACCACTGAGGTCATCACCGCCGTGACTACCTACTGCCCTGAGCCCACCACTCTGACCTACGGCAACAAGACCGTCACTGTCACCGCTCCCGGCACCGTTACCGTCACCGACTGCCACTTCACCACCACTCACCCTGCTTCCGAGCACCCTTACCCTCAGCCCACTCCCGGTAAGCCCGGTAAGCCCGGCTACACTGCTCCCGTTGTTCCCGGCAAGCCTACCACCGCTGCCCCCGTCCCCGTCCCTACTGGTACCGCTACTTACCCCGTCCCCGAGGGTACCAACCCTGCCGTTGTCACCGCTGCTGCCGGTCGCATTGCCCCCGCCGGCGTCCTCGCCGTCCTCGGTGCTATTGCTCTTTTCTAAGCAACTCAGAACCTCTGCTCTACATGTCATGGATATATCTCGTGATGAGTTTGGACGACAAGGGAAAAGCATTGGTCTTTAATGATTAATTTCACACATGATGAACTAAAGATGGAAGCGTTGGGTATATAATTCATTTCTACGACTTGCACATAGATCTCTTGATAGAGGTGCATAGACCTTAATACTATACAGTTCATCTGAGCTACACTCTTTGTCTTCTATTGTATCGTGATAACCTCTTCTGTATAATACTCGATCCAAACGAGCAATGTCGCAGCCTGGCCCAAACCTGACCAATTGCCGCTGAGTTTGTCTCGGCACAGCTCACTCAAGCAACGACGATTGATCAACGATCACACGACACAGTCTGCTCCTACCTGTCCGTCAACGCCATTACACCGTCCTATAGACTCCCAAGCAGCTCAAGTTTCCTAACAACCAACGCACTGCTCTCTCAATTGTTTCAATGCGTCTATTAAATGTCTCAACTCTTCAGCTGAAAGAATTCATCGGGCATGTCCCTCCATACGCAATTCTCAGTCACACCTGGACCGAAGAAGAGGTTCTATACAGTGATATTGGCACCTTTACTGCTCAATCAAAAAAAGGCTACCCCAAACTCGTTGGTTGTTGTAGTAAGGCAGCTCATGATGGCTTCGACTGGGTTTGGATTGACACGTGCTGTATCGACAAGTCCAGCAGCGCAGAGCTTTCCGAGGCGATCAATTCCATGTATAAGTGGTACCAAAAGGCGACCTCCTGTTATGCTTATTTGCAAGATGTCACCACAGAAGCTTGTACCCTGGCGGACGTCTTTCATATCACAGAGTTCGGCAGAAGCAGGTGGTTCACCAGAGGTTGGACACTTCAGGAACTGATCGCGCCTCAAATCGTCGAGCTCTGTTCCAAAGAGTGGATCTTAATCGGTACCAAAAAGAGTCTCGCTTCAAGTATAGAAAGTGTTACTGGCATCCCAATCACCGTGTTACGTGGTTCCCATCCTTCGACATACAATGTCGCCGAGCGAATGTCGTGGGCATCGGCTCGAACTACAACCAGAGAGGAAGACCTGGCCTACTGTTTACTAGGTCTATTCGACGTCAACATGCCACTCCTCTATGGCGAAGGAGCCAAGTCGTTCATCCGACTTCAGGAGCAGATTCTCCGACAAGAAGAGGACTATAGCATGTTTGCATGGACTCTCCAGCAAGATAACCCAATTGCCGATTCCGAAACCTCTTCTACCGGGTTTCTGGCCTGGTCTCCCTCGCAATTCTCCAAGAATGCTATACATGCTCAAGCTCCAAAGCACACGCAGGACCAGAAGATGGTCGATCATGGTCATGCCTTTCCTCCTCCTTCTGAACCCGAACTTGACGTGGAGAAGCAGAGCATCGAATATCGAGTCCTGCACGAGAAGGACTACGGCCGCATGTTTCGCGGCCAACGTAGCATCGTTGCAATGCAGTCGGTCCTCTCGAATCCTCTCGAGTTCACAAGTCGCGGTCTACGTATCAATCTGCATGTTCTATTCCCTACAGATCTTGACCTGGCCCGCATTGCATGGCTATCGTACGAGACAGAGGACAGTCTTGTATGCGTCCTGATAGAACGTGACTATGAGTCGGCGCGAAGGCGGGTCTATTGCAGAGTTAAACCGTCTTCTCTTATCGGTGTGCCCAAGACACTGCTCCCGTACTTTAGGCCTATGGAACTCTTCATTCGGCCCAGTGGCTATTTCACAGGCTCGAATAACTTTGGCATGGTTCCACCGTCTTCAATGTTTTCGTCAAAGCAATTGCAGATCTTGACGCAAGTCTCGTCGACAACTACACGCTCCCTTGATATTGTCTTGACATATCCAAGTGACGACTGGATGAAACGACAGACTCCGATACATGAGTCCTCATTCAAGGCCCTCTGGGTTGTCTGTTCATATGGCTCTCAATCTTCACTATTTCGTATTGACATCATGATATCAACCGAAGATGCTTCATGTAGTATCCGAGAGCTTTCGCAGTCTGGCAGCGACATCGACGAGTCTCGTAAGAACGCTCTCTTCCGCGCTTGTGTCCAGTACAAGAAATCTTTTGTTGCACACACAGACCGTGCTGTCAAACGATCTGCTAGAGTTTCAGAGACTGTGTTCTCAGCTGTTCTCCGGAAAATGCCAAGTTCGCATGAGGACCTTGTGACTTATGAACTTCGTGTCGATGCTTGGGATGTGGGTGGCTGCCCCAGTTGGGTTCAATTGAGTTTGTTGCAAGAACATAAAGAAGTTGACGAGGTGAAGACTCCGTGATATACTATGGCGATTCAAAGGCGAATTGGTGAGGTCAGGGGGTTATCATAGGTTGGACTTTGAACTTTGATAGCCACACATCTATACTTCTGCTCAAACAATAAACACAGCGTTTATGTGCATTAGCATAAACACTTCCCGACGCCTTTGGCGTACGGATCGTGGCAGCAAAGTTCGAAGGGGTTCATCTACAACTTAAGCCCATCACAAGCTACGTTGAAAGCCTGTTCCTACATTAGACTTGCGTGCGCGTCTCTTCATAGGTCTTGTGACTCGAATCGCAGCTATCAGGTAATATTTGGAACTATTGTGGATCTTGAAGCTGAGGGCTGTGAAGAGGAGGACACAGGGATGTTCTTGTCAATGGACCCTTGGCAAGAATATTTATCCCCTCCCATGTCATTCTTAATTAACAAACCAACGACCCAAGTACCAAAGTTTTGCCTCATCATCTACTGTCCAGCAAAAAGAAGAAGAAAAAGAGAAGAAAAATCATGGACCGCCTGGAACTTCGACAGGATCAGGAAAAGGCCATACGCGGTGATGGAGTGCCGAGGCTCCTTGAAGACCGTGATAGTCGCGCAGCTCTTATCCGGGGCATTCGCCTGCACTACCATTTGGCCATGAGTGAACCCGTCAAACGCCTCAGCTCCTCAATGCCTCAGGTCGCTCGAGCCCGCAACGCTCGCCGCATCATGAGCAACGACATACCGGAACGAATGACGGCGGAGTAGCAGCCATACTGTACATGGCATCCCGACATGGCCACCGAGGACACCTACCGCTCATTGGCCTCTAAATTCCCCGACATGCGCTATCAAGTTGGCCGTGCATGTGCTGCAGCAGGTTACGACGCCCTTTATCGTGAGCTCAATCTCCTGCCTGAAGTGTCCATCGCTGAAGAGGCGCGAGAAAGCGAGACAGATGGCGGGAAACTCATCTATGACGAGATCATGAGTTTCAAGTATCGCTATGCCATCGTGGACGATTGCAAACGCACCATCAAACTGATGGACTATGAATGCCCGGCGTATCTGAACGGCAACACCGAAGTGCGATGGCGCTTGACAGCTCGACAAGGCATTACACGCCGGTTCAACGACGACTTCCTTCCATGCATCGAAGAGGACATACATCTGGGCCTCGAGGACCAGCAAGTAGATGAAAGGCATGGAACGCTGACCGACGACGAGGCGAAGCTGCTCTATAGTCCTCTGCCTGGGGATCTGCCGACGGTAAAGAAGACTTTGTTGACACAGATGGCCGCCCACGACGGCAACATCGAACGCTATGCCCAGCTCGCCAACTCTGGAAGAACTTTGACTCAACTAGACCAAGACTGTGTCATCCGTGGTGTCTTGCATCACACTATGTATGCTCGTTGGTGGGCTGACCAGATCAAGAACGACACCATCTATGCAAGGTCTTCCCCATACATGTGGGATATTCAGCGAGCCATAATGGCACGCCGGATCATGCTCAACGACGCCTCCACGTTTGAAGACGGCTGGCCACCCGGAGTCCCGATGCCCTACATCATCTGGTGGCCCCTGCAGCCGCAGTCAGATATGCTTAGCCTTCTTGCCATGAAGGTACCTGAGATGAAGAGGCAATGCGCGGGGGCAGCAATCATCTGCGATTACGAGAATGTCTATAAAGGCCTTGATCCGGAGCCGAGCTGGCACCTATGGAAGGTCGCCAGTGAGTTCGCTGCCAACTCGTTTTACCGTGAGGATCAGGAGAGGCGAGGGAGGGAGAAGGATATTGATGTGGAGGATGACGCTTTTATGGAATCATACTACAGTGAATTAATGCAGACGAGGGAGATTACGGTACTTGAAGAAGGCGGCGAAAAGATTACCGACAGTGTCGAGAAACACAAGTTACGAACTAACATGTATGGCTCCGTGGAAGTACTTAGTACGAGCGCCGGCCAGCTCAGGATCTGGGAAGGCATTGGAAAAGTATCGCCAGTATCTTGACGCCTCCACAATTAAAACAATCAAGTAAGCATCCAAGAGTTGAGACTTGGCCGATTACATTTGAGTATGTATTACAATGAGCCTGTCTTGGAACGGAGTGCGTCTCACTAGATGCCCAGGGGAACGCTACGACCGTTCATCTTCGGCGCCCCGGTGGGTGGCTAGGGGAGGAAAGAAAACACAAGACCTTGATCCTAATGACAAAAACATTCAGGTACTTTACTATAAATCCAGCCTAATTTTAGGATACCTTTTTCTAACTTTATTTTAACATCGCTTGTCAAGGCCTGATGTTTTCTTGCTCCCTGGCGGGTGGATCACGAAAACGGTACCGGAGCCCCACCGTCGGCGCCGACTCCGTAAAACGGTTCGGACCGGAATCAGAATTGGGCACATAGACAGTTCAAGAAGCAAGACTACCTATTTGACGACGCCTTATAGTGAATTTTCATAAGCCCGTATTACTCTGCGGTTACGAGCTCTATACCATCACATCTACCTCTCTATCCCTCTTGGAAAGACAGGAATCAGTCCCAGACAAGCATCAAAAACACCAAAAAGACATACAACACCGGGGATTCGCTGGTCGTCACCGACCCAACTACTAATCCAGCGCTTCGCAGCTTGACTATGGGAGAGCAGACGGGATCCCGTATTTTCTACGAGCTATGGTCGTATGTGCTTGACAGACTCTCAAACTGTGCTCATCATGATACCCAGATGTGTTCTCAGGCATCATTGTCGAGATCTCACCGACTGTGGTGTAAAAGGTGGACCCTATAGAACGAGGCCACCCGGAATTGCAGGCCTCATTATCAATTGAGACATAAAGTCGCTGCCCAAGATGCGAAAGTGCTGTGATGATAATGTTTGCACCGTGGCGTTCTTGGCGATGGATGTTGGTTGAGTCAGATACCGGGTACTGGCCAGTATGGAAACAAAGTTAATCGTTGTCGGGAATCGGTAATAGACTCGTGGCCGTGCCCTCAACCCGTTTTTATAAAGATCCATAGCGTACTCCGTGATGCAGTCCAGCATAATCCGTGCGACAATAAGGCTTGATCTCTGTCAACCTGACGTCGACCACCAATAGTCTACCCAAGACGGAACTTGCTTCTTGGGCCGGGCTTGCACGACATCAAGGTTCCCCGACCAGCCCCAGTTAGCTCCGGTCCGGGCGGGTTCTCGGTAGGCGGCCGGCTCATATCGGCCGTCGGTGATTGGCGCCAGCGGGGAAGCGATCAACATCGCAGGTGTCATTTGAGCGATGATCAAGTTAAGTCATGTGAATTGAGGAGAGTTACAAACAAAGAAACACCGCCGTCCTACCTCAACGCCACCATCCCCTCAAGAACAAAACAGTCCAGCCGTAGAATTAGTGAGGAAAATGAACGAAACAGTTTGGTCTCAGGTCCCCAAGAAGTAAAATAACCTCTTCCTTTTGGCCCGCGAATCCAGGCGTTCCCTCCAATCCAATTCCTAAGATCGATACCGAATGTGCCGGACGCTGAGGTGATGGATGCTTTGCCAGGTCTTGTCTACTCCGCCAAAGCCAAAACCTAAAAGTGAGGCTGTCAAGCCGATTGACCAGGGACCCTGTCCCGAAATCATACTCCACCAAACAATGCCCATGCGTCGACAGGCCTAAAACAAGTGTCATGTCTTGCCTGACTAGGAGGAAAGGCAAGGCAAGGGAAGTAAAGTAAAGAAAAAGCCGCGGGAATCGTAACGCCGTAAAAACAATAACTGAATAATAGCAGGCCTGTCGTTGAATCGGGAATCTCGTGAGAAGGAAATGTCTATCATGGCCTGGTCTGTGTATATGATATAATGTCAGGCGGTTTAGTGAGGTAGCAGGTTCTTGGACTCGTCATCAGTCAAAATGATCTCGTGGACCGGGTCCCGGCGGTTTTCGAGGGGAACATAGTCGCAATCGATATAAGACGGGAGAAAGATTTCTATCAGTTGTTAGTCGTGACTCGTGGAGAGGCTGTTCATGATACAAGTGAAACATACCGGGATTCCAGGCGAAACCCTGGCTGGAGGAAAGGTAGGAGATCTATGGAAAGTCAGTACACCTGAAACCAAGTACAATATTGTCGAGACACTTACCAGTCGGGGAGTGCCTTCCGGATCGCCGACGTTAATGACGGTGCATTCTTGCTTGGAGAGTGAAGAGCCTACAAAGACAAGTCAGTAAACGGCGGTCGGTGCATGATAAGACGATAGTATCATTGTCGCTGCCATCGTCGGAGGCGGGGATGATCCAGCTTCACTTACTCAGGAGTCTCGGACGGCGGTTGTGCAGGGCCTTGTCCTTTCCGGCTGACGGAGGAGAAGACGAAGGAGTGCCAAACGGGCTGTTTGTAGAGGAGCCAGTGCCCTTATGGAATGGGCGGGTAGCCGAGGGGCCAGCGGGAATGGCGATAGAGGACGACATTGTATGTGCGATGTTGAGGTTGCTTAGAGTATCGAGACAGAGACAAACAAGCAACCCAAGATGAAACGAGGGGTATTGTGTGTGTGTGTGTGTGTGTGTGACGAGCGGTTGGCCGAGTCGAAAACGGCAGCGGAGGGAGGGATGATGGCGGCTTTTGGGGAGGAGATGGCAGCAGTATCAGTAGAATGACGCAACAAAGACACGCCGAGCAGTAAGTGATAGATTAAGGTGATAAAGTGACGTGAGGTTGGCTTGGGCGTGAAAGGCGATGAAAAGAGAGCAAAAAAAGACCAAAGAGGTCGAGTTGGTTGGAGGTTGAACAAGTCAGAAGGTAGAAGGTGGTTTCAAAGAGGTAGAGTGAGTGAGTGAGTGAGGTGACTTGTCGATTACCTTACCTTGCTCCTCGGCCGCCGACCAGTGAATCACCGCCGCATCATCCCGTGAACAGGCGAGTGATCCGACGCTGATAAGCCACAATCCAACCAGGTACTTGAGCTTACATGAGATGGTCCATCAAGATACACGTACTGTATAAGCAAGCGAGAAGCTCCTCACTAACAATTACCAATAATAACACTCTATACTGTAAATACTGTATGAACGATTTCACGGTTCACCTAACTAACATCCTCTCACCGAACATCGCGGGGCAGGCTTATCGGCAGGGTCATGAGTCTATTCTCACCGCAAAACCCGCCATCTTTCAACATTAGACTGAATCAGTTCAACGCCACTAATAGGACATTCGACATCCCCCCAACTTGTACAGCCTCAGGAGGGCCAAGTGCCAAAAGCACAGAGGCCCTCAATCCGCTGTAGCTCTCATGTACCAGGCTAGAAACGTCCCCCTTCAGGGTCCCCACGTCTTTGGTCTTGTGTGGAGGCAGATCCCGATAATCGGCCAATCTGATTCACTGAAGCTCGCACTGGGGTCGTTGGAGCCTTGGAGCCTTGCAGCTGCTGCACGCTTGCAACCCCACTTCGCCCTGCCTGGGAGAGACGATCATGAGCCAATCAAAGCCATCGAGTCTGGACCCCAACTGCTCTCGCTCTTTGACGTAGACTGATCACGTGAAAGGAGCTCCAATCCAGATGACTAAGATTTCCAGCCACGCTAGCTCACCTTAGCTTCCAGTGTCGTCGTCGTCGTTACTGGCGCCTGGTATCATCTCGAAGCAGCTCCATCACTCCCTCAACGACCGAAACAACAACGAAGCGCTGTATCTCCCGACGACAATCGCTTTCCGAACCCCACGCTGATTTCTACTTGCACCGCATTCTCACGATCATTTCACCTATCTTACTCACCCAGCAGAAGCGCAAAAATGGGTGACGTCGCTGTCGAAAACCCAGCAAACCAAGTGGCACCTCACAAGAGGGCCGCGCACTCAGCCATTCCCACCATTGATAACTTCGAGGGTGTATCAACCGATGGAGGAGATGACTACGCCAACCTCAAGAAGCTCCAGCGGCAACTAGAGTACGATACTCCAGTCTCAGATATTGCAAAGTGGTGGGAGACTGATAGCTTTCGAATAGGTACATCCAGCTGCAAGAAGAATATATCAAGGATGAGCAAAGGTAAGTCATTAATCTCGTCTGAATTCAAGTCATGGTTTGCTAATTCTCCACAGGAGTTTGAAGCGTGAGCTTGTACGAGCTCAAGAAGAGATCAAGCGGATTCAGAGCGTGCCATTAGTTATAGGACAGTTTATGGAGGCCATTGACCAAAAGTATGTGCTCACCTGCAACCGACAATTCTACACGAGCTAACCAGCATCCCAAGTACTGGCATTGTGCAGTCTAGCACCGGATCCAACTATGTCGTCAGAATCCTCTCCACCCTCGACCGGGAGAAGCTCAAGGCTTCCTCCTCGGTCGCCCTCCATCGACACTCCAACGCCCTTGTCGATATTCTCCCTCCCGAGGCCGACTCCTCCATTGCTATGCTTGGCGCCGACGAGAAGCCCGATGTGACATATGCCGATGTCGGTGGTCTGGACATGCAGAAGCAGGAGATTCGCGAAGCTGTCGAGCTCCCCTTGACACACTTTGATCTCTACAAGCAAATCGGTATCGACCCCCCTCGAGGTGTTCTACTCTACGGCCCTCCCGGTACCGGCAAAACTATGCTGGTCAAGGCCGTTGCCAACTCAACCACCGCCAACTTCATCCGAGTTGTTGGTTCCGAGTTCGTTCAGAAGTATCTTGGTGAGGGTCCCCGAATGGTCCGTGATGTTTTCCGCATGGCTCGCGAGAACTCTCCCGCCATTATCTTCATCGATGAAATCGACGCCATTGCCACCAAGCGATTCGACGCCCAGACCGGTGCCGATCGAGAAGTCCAGCGTATTCTTCTCGAACTTCTCAACCAGATGGACGGTTTCGATCAGACCGCTAACGTCAAGGTCATCATGGCCACCAACCGAGCCGATACTCTTGACCCTGCTCTTCTGCGACCTGGACGTCTCGACCGAAAGATCGAATTCCCCTCTCTGCGAGATCGCCGTGAACGACGTCTCATCTTCTCCACCATCGCCGGCAAGATGAGTCTGGCTCC